TGGTCTTCCTCCGAATCATCAGAGTCCTCGCTCAAAATCTGCTGCGGCTGCAGCCTTGAGCGACCACGGCCCCGGACGTCGGCAGACTCAGCAGGCACATGAGAAAATGTTTGAGCCCTGACAGGACCAGGAGGAGGACGGTTGTACCCATCGTTGAAGGTGGCCGCTCTACCCAAGTGCTTAGGCGGCGAGGAAGACGCAGGCGAAGATGTCGCGGAAGCGAACTGAGCCATGTGGCGAGTGCTAGGAGAGGCATCGACAACATTGGGCGATGGCGGAACGGGTGCCTCCTTTGTGGGAGACGACTTCTTATGACTTGACTTGTCCCGTGTCTTGGTCTCAGAGGAGCGTCTCGACTTTGATCTGCGACTGGTGTCCTCCTCGACAGTAGGGATGGGAGGAGGAGCGAAAGGAATCGCAGCGGGCGGCGTCGGAACCGCGGCAGGCACATGTCGAGGCTCGTACGAAGTCTGGGCACGGCTCAGACCCGGGTGAACTGCCTTACGTGACTGATCCATGTATGACGCTGCGTACAGCATGGTGTCGGCATATTTGGAAACTTTGGCATCGGCCTGGATAGTAGGCACCGGAGGCACAGGCGGCTCTTCACGGAGAGGTGCGCCTCCAGGCGGGATCGAGCGAGATCGCTTGTCCTTCTCCTTCTCCTTGGTGCTACTTGACTTCTTCTTGTCAGACTTGGCGAAATAGTTGGACTCATCGTCTTCGATGTACTTGTGTCTACGCGATTTCTCTTCGGCCTCGCGTTTACGGTCCTTTTCTCTCTCCTTCTCGGCCTTCTCTTGACGCTTACGTTCTTGACGACGCTCTTCCTTGTCGGCCGCGGCCTTTTCGGCGGCCCTCTTGAGCTGCTTTTCGTACGCCTTGCGGTCTTGGCGTTCTCGCTCCTTTTCGCGTTCTCTTTCACGCTCCCTCTCGCGTTCCCTTTCTTTGCGGTCTGCGGCACGGGCGAGCTCCTCGCGTTCTCTGTCCCTCTCTTCCTTACGTCTCCGTTCCCGTTCCCGCTCTCGATCTCTTTCTTCGTCTTGGCGGGACGGTTTCTCGTAGCTTTTCTCGTAACTTGCGGCCCGGCGAGCCCTAGGCTCTTCGAAGATGGAATTTGATCTGCTGTGAATTTCTTCGTCCCAAGATCGAGAATTGTATCCGGTAGAGTACATGGGCTTGCCGCCGGGGGAGGCACGGTACGTCGTCTTGTAGGTATCCGGTCGGGGCTCGGCGGTGCGGACCTCGTAGGATCTGGCGGCAGGCGCTCTGGGAGCCGAGGTGTTGGCGGACATGCCCTTGGCCATCTCCTTGCGGAGCTCAGCTAATTTGACATTGTCATCGTACTTGCCTCGCTCGTTTTCGTCGCTCAGAATCTCGTAGGCCTGCTGAACCTTTTGAAACTCATCTTGCTTTTGGGCCTTGAGCGTCGGGTCCTGCACCTTGTCGGGGTGGCATTTGAGGACGAGCTTTCGGTGAGCACTTCGAATTTCTGCGAGTTGTGCATCTTTGGAAACGCCTAAAATCTTGTACGGGTCGGGTGGCAAAGCGGACATGATGAAGATGTCTGATGGCGGTATGATGTTGGTATGGGGGCTCGTGAATCCAGTTCGACGGCGGCCAGAGAGCGACTGATCAAATCGAGGCTGTGGTAATGGTCAAAAGACTGCAAGGCGTTGCTTGCGGTCCGGTTCGTGTCGGTCTCTGTGCGGACGACGAGGCTATTGTTGCATTGAGACGGTGATGATTATGTACTCGAGGCTGTGTGAGTTACCCTTTGCAATTGCAGCAGGCTGTTGGGAGTTGTTGTCAAGTTTTCGGGACCGCGGTACCCGGCGCGAAGCTTTCAATCCAGAGCGGAAGGGATTCCTTGAATGGAATGTTGAGGGAGCAGAAAGGTGAAGGAAGTACGGTAGTAAGTAGAAGTAGTAGTAAGGTAGTATGTAGGCTGAAGTGAAGTCGCGACAAGTGATGTACTGTGAGGGAAGAGGCAAAAAGGAGGATCAGATAAGGCGGAACGGAATATTGGGTATCGTTAAGGTGAGGTGATGATGTTATGGTTCAGAGTTGTGAATCGAGTGAGAGAGAGTGTGAGAGAGAGGCAAATAGAGGAGAGCAGAGGCAAGAGATGCAGATGCGGATATGGATGGCAAAAGAGGGCGAGAGAAGCAGCCGGATACGTAGGGCGAGGGCGAGGGCCAGAGTCGGACGGGTGGTCGATCGTGGGTCGTGGCTCCTATCTCTGGGCTTTCCCCTCGAGGTGCAGCAGCGCAACCAGTGTCCAGTACGCAGGTGGAGTTGTTTTCGTGGGTTGATGTTCGCAAGTTGCGTTGGACGGGCAGCTCAAGCGAAAGACGAGATGGAGAAGGGGGGAAGGCGTGCCAAATAGGTAACGGGAGGATCTCCAGAGGCCCAGGAGGAAACGGAGGCGGATATGGGAGAACTGGAGTGACTTCTGACAGCGGTGGAGTTCCCGGGCACTGGGATGCTTGCTAGGAGCCGAGACGAGCGATGACTGGAAGAGCGGAGAGACTTTTGGACGCTGAATGACTGAGGATTAGAAAGGCAAAGAGGGAAAAAAGTGACTTTGGGCGCACCATGCGACTTTGCGAAGAGAGGGTCCCCAGATGCGCGGGTGGATGGCAACGATGGATGATGGATGGCAGATGGATGGTTGGACTGTGGGTTGTGGATTGACGCGGGTGGACGATTGATGAATGGACAGCCGATGGCCCATACAAAAGATACGGAGAAAGGTACCTGCCTCCATCAGGTACATAGGTACATACGTACATCAGGGCGTTTCCGTCCTGTCAGTCGAGAGCGAGCCGGTGCAAGCGTGGGACGTGGAAGGCGCGGTGGGTTAAAGTGGGTACAGGTCCGTGGACGGTGGGTCACAGAGCCTGGGGTCGAGGGTACGTATCTCAGCGCAAGATGCATGTACCTTCCTCACGTTATTCTCGCTGATAGATACGGACTGCACCTTACCTTACGTAGACGATACGTAAGTACAGGTTAAAGTGCCTTACCTCACCTTACAGAAATCCGTACGGGCAGCTTGGCCAGGAAGAGGATAGGGACCTAGGTACTCACATACTCTGAGTGAGTCTGTGACGAAATTGGGTGCCCAAAGGGTCCAGCACCCAAGACAAATGCCCCATTACTTGTCATTTTTTGGTTTTGATCTTGAGGTGGCCAGACCGGGCCAGAGCTGCGAAGATGGAGTCTGGTGTGCCCTGTGTTTCCCGTCTGGCTCGTGTACCTTGACTGCGGTATCTTCGGCGAGTCGGGACTTGGGAAAGGCCATCCCATGGTACGTATTCGTACTGTTCAAGAAACGAGGATGGTGGACTGAGGACGTGACTTGACAGCACGGGGGCTGACCAAGTATTGGAGACGGTGTATTCGCAGGTGCTCTTGACCGACGATGAGGTCACGGGCTTTTGGGCGAAAAGGAGGGGGAGAGGCGACTATGACTGGACGAGACGGTGGTCGATGGCTGGGTCTGGGTCATTGCTGGTTGGACGAAAAAGGACAGCATCTGTAGCGGAGCGTCCACCAGTCAAAAACGGCTGACAGCCACTAGCGCAATCCGAGGTGTGGATCAGCCTCAGTTTTGTGACTCTCCGTTTCAATCCAACGAAACGGAGTCCCAGGGACCTCCCTCTGTCATTCTGTCTTTTTTTTTCTGCTGTTCAGATGCAGCGTGAGAATCTGAACCGAGGGTACATGCCTCACCCAAATTCGACTTCTGGCTCTGCGGTCACCATTCGATTGGACCACTCACCTCCAGTCAGATCGATGGTTGACTGTATTAAGGCTATCATCCAGCCAGTCTTTCCCCTTCAAGAGGTGTGGTCAACCAGTCACGACCTGACTGCCAGGGCTGTTGCACACAGACGGTAGCCTATGAACAGATGCATTTACGATTGCACACAAGACGGCAACTGATACGCTTCTCGCATGTGGTACAGCACAAACGGGGGTGAACGGATGGGGCTTGTAGCCAGGTGAGACGGTTCTGGCCTTGGCTGATGATGCTGTCCCTGACTGGAAAGGGATCCCACGTCTTATTCTCCCCCCCAGAAGAGGAGGGGCTGGAGTGGGTGTGATGTGCGGCGTGCCCAGCGGGTAAGGCTTGTTGTGGATGGATGACCACGGTGACTTTATTGCTTACTCGTCCATCGGTACCACCACTCTGTCTCCGGTACTCACTCCGTGCCGCACTTGTCGTTGTTGAACCTCAGACATCGTCTCGTCTTTGGGTTTTTGCACTTCCACGGGCCGCAGCTTGAGTCTGTTCTGTTCGACCGCCTATTCTTAACCCCGGAAGGACAAGCGCACAGAGACCTAAAGTCCGACGTCTGTCAGTCGTCGGAGCACCGTCGTACCCGGCTTGTCATCGGTCTCGTCCTTCTCTGCGTAACCCGCCGCTGAAGTCCGTCCCGCCGCCTGTCTGGAGACTGGCATTGACCGGTGTCTCGTCTGTGTCCTTCTCTCTACTTCCACGGCGGCGGACAGGCCCTGTTTCCCTCTCTGTTCGACCCGCGTTGTCCGTCGCCCAAACGGGCAGCGTACAGCAGCTTGCGGTGGCTTGCTGCAGCTGTGGTAGGCGGCCGCGGGGGCGGATTGCATAGTAAATGACTGAACCCCCCGGCGGAGCTGAGCCATGATACGCAACGCCTGACGTATGCGGGACCCCTGAGACCTGCCCGTATCGGTGGCTATAGGCCGTCTCGGTTTCTCTAGTGCCTTTTACTGAATAGAGGTCTCGCGTTGTCGGGGAGACTTGTTTAGCTGGCAGGCATGGTGGCATGGTAGATATGGAACCGCAAGAGGTCGGCCACGAACCGAACCCTTCAGGTGATGAGCGACAGGGACGGCACATGGGCTCCCGTCGTAAAGTCGATCGCTCATAGCGGCCCTGGATACGGTGAAGGAGAGTACCGATGGTGGGGTGGTTGGGGAAGGAAGATCGAACCCAAACGGTGGCAGCAACAATGTACTTCGCCTTGCTCCCTGCGATGTAGGAGATACAGCTTCAGCCCGCCAAGTGATGTATGTATCGTGCTAGGATATCTTCCAAGATCCAAGGGGGCCATCGCGCAACTTTGACGAAGATGCCGACGACAACTTCCACGCTGCGCCTCGGCTGGAGGAACCGGAGAATGGGGCCAAAGATGACGATGGATGAATCAACCTGAATCATTCTAGCCTTCAGCGCCTCCCGGAGGGGAAGGGGAGTTTCTCGTTGACGAAGGGGAGAAAAACGAAATTTCTGTTTCTTCGAGGGGCAAAAATACGGAAGCGCGGGTTTCGCGTACTTCGTCTTTTGTTCGCTGTATCCATGAAAGCCGAGTGCAATGCTGTGGTTGTACCCGCGAGAAGCTGGGAATGTCGTTGGATGGGAATTGATGAATTAGGGATGGCATGGCACCGTGAACGCTTGTTCGCCCTGTCGATTGGGCAGCGGCAACACCAAGGGGCACTTGCCTGGCGCCTGGTACCAGCATCAGGGAGGAAGCATCAAGGCACCGCAACTGCACTGCAAAGTGCAAGCAACAGCGAAGGAAGGCAAGAAGGATGTGGCAGTGGGCAATTGGGAGCAGGCGGTGGCTCGTACGTAAAGTCGTGGGTACTTTGCCCCGTGAGGGGTTGAGGGGCGATGTTCACGTACCGTCGACAAGAGTACTTCGGACTTTGGTCGACCAAGTACCTCACTCCGACGTTTGTCGCGCACCGTTCATCTGCTCCTCCCTTTAGTGGTTGAGTGGCAACAGCGCGGCCTGTGAACACAAGGTGGCACCTGGCATCCGTTTAGCCTCCAACGCTGCAGCTGGCCGCCCTTTGAAACGTTCGTCCGTTTTCAAGCAGCAACCTTGGTTGGAGAGACGCCAAAACGTCCCGTTTCCCGAGGATAGCGCACCATGAATGACAAACTCAATCAACAACTTAGGGGATGCCCGTTGGTGCTTAACAAAACGGCTCTTTAGGTACACGCTAAGCAATCATCTGTCCGAGTCTAAAGGGACCTTGGCTGATAGTGTAATCCATCGTTCTGCGAACTGGAGGCTGTGTTCCTCTGGTCTGCTCGGCGAACGCGAATCTGAACCTCTGAGCCGGAGGCTTTCGGAAAGACAGTTGCGTTGCATCAAATCAGTCTGACCATCCGGCGGGTTTCTGAATAATCTATTTTCTTCCGGCTCATGCTACAGTAGGGATACCTCAATTGGAAGCTGGTAGAGCCATCAGAGCCATATTTGGCAGCATGGAAAACACGATTTCAAACGCATCTGTCAGACGTTGCTGAGGTAATGCCCAGGCCTAGTTGCCCGGCAGGGCCATGGAAGCGAGCTCCTCTAGCCGTACCTGCTTTTGCTTGACTCCATCAGCACCGCCCATTCGGCTTCATGACACGCACTGCGGCGATTGTCTAGGGCCATCTGGCGGTGAACAAACACCTCGTTTGACCACCGTTTGCGATAAAAGCGGGTCTTTCGGGCACTTGGTCCCCGTCCTCCGGTGCCGTGCCTTCCTCCGTCAACTCACGATGGACCTGACTCTGACTCCTTCCAGATGGAAGGACCCCTCTCCTCAGGAAGGAGGTACTGAGGTACGTGTCCTTTTTGCTTACCTAATGGAGGCAGGCACGTTCGGGAGATGCCCAAGGCCTGCGAGGACCTTCCCAGTAGCGAGCACGACAAGCGCAGCAAAACTTGAGCTGTCACCGTCTGACCAGAAGCGCACCGTCTCCACGCTAGCCCAACCACCCACCCCTCCCTCCTCCAACTCTCTCCCAACCCAAACCGTTTTCTCTCATCGAGTGCTTGCTCATGGCACTCGATCAATTCGATGCCCAACCTCTCATCCGTCATCAGTCCACGGATACACAAGCAGCCCATGGAACGAAAGGGAAGAAAAACCAAGGAATGAAGCCCAACGGCGATACAACGATGATGGCGACCGAGTAGTACAGATGACCAACTACCCAAACGTATTTCGTGGCCTGGTCTGGCCTCGCCATGATATCAGACGTACCTGGCCACAGCCAAAGAAACGTCGCCAGCAAAGTCATGGGTGCGCCGTACCCCGGGTCGATATGCCATACGAGGCTAGCCAACTTTTGCCCGTGTCCATCAGCTATTATTCGAGCTTTCCGCCGGGAACGTGCAAAGACAATGGCAGGCCACTGGCAGGCCACAGGCCACACAGGCCGCAGGCCGCAGAACAGACGGCGCCACATGGTCGTGATCATCTTGCGAACCCCCAAAGGGACTAGGTAATCAACGACAACCATTCCACCGTGCCCGCTTCGTCTTCTAGCTGCAGAGCCTAGAAAGTGGCAGACGAGACGGGACGACAGCAGACTTGTTCTCAGCCATCACATCTCCGGCTTCCATCGACTTGGAGCAACGTCATCCTCGAGAACAGCAAGATCGCAACTAGCCTGAGCATCGTCAGCCATACTTAGCCCTACGAAGGATCTTTCAGGTCTGGGGAGACTTACACACCCTCTCAGAACTGGTGTCGGTTCTATCTCAAACACTTGCCTCGGAAAGCCCTTTCACGGGCCTTTGGCCGACATTGTTCCAACGTGCTTCCTTTGCAGGTGCATCCACAGCCGTTTATTACGCATTATTACCTCTGCCCTGCATCTTTCGGCAACGATGGCAGCTCATAATCTGACGACTTACTCGCAGTATTCGCATAGTATTCGTCAAATGCCAATGGAGGCCGCCAGAGTTTCGACATTGGCCTGTGGAGTCGTTAAAGTCGCTGGGTTCTTTGCCCGCTACCAAGGCCGGCATATCTGCAATGTCTCCGAATTCGCCCTCTAGCTCGCCGTGTCATCCAATGTCTATGACTGAGCCAGAGACCGGCGGCCTTCCAGGGTCGCAGTCGACCAGTAACGGCGACCACCGCAAAGTGTGTGCATGACTCCATCCACAGTTCCCAGTCGGGCTCTCTGCATCAACCATCACACAATATCACAAACCATTCGACTTTAAGACCATTCGACTCTCAGGACATGTGTCTTAGCATGCCATCTTCCATCCTCCGTGCTGTTGCATCCCACGCCTTCTCACTCGTGATAAGATCGCCGTCACTACGCGAGGTCGCGTGTCTGTGACCACCAGGAAGATCGGAAGCAGGTACGAACTCTGAGCATCACAGCCCCCAATCTAGAGACAGAGGCGCCCCCTTCTGGATACTTTGTGGGTGAGGGTGAAAACGGCGACCGACATGTGCAAAAACTAGACTCGCAATTTTTTTCGTCCCCTTCCACGTGAAATACACCTTGGACTTGCACTTCTACTACATAAGGAGGGGGTCCGGATCCGCTTGTCATTGGTCCAGGAGACCCAGGAAGAAGAAGAAGAAGACCGTCTCCCGCGAACAAATCAGACGAAAATTGGAACACCTTCTCAACCAGTCAGACAGAGGCTTCATCTGCAGCTAGACAAGTCACAACGAGTAGGAACCCATGGGCGGGAGATTTTCCTGGAGTAGATGCCGCATCGAGGGAGATACGGTGCTCGAATCATGCTGATCGAGATATCCTGGCCAAGGGCATGAATGTCAACGGATAACGACCTCGAACCGCTCTTTGGCGTTGATACTCGGGGATTATGACAGTGATAACCCAGGCACGAGGGGTAGTGAGTGGCTTCTTACCCCTCAGCATCATCACCGAGCTTGACACTTGCCGTTTGTCACTGGTCCTTGGCAGTCAGTCGGTGGTGAAGGGGTTTCACGTTTTAGCGGTCAGCGCCGTCTGGGCCAATAGTTCGAGAGGAACCGAATCGTCCCGTCTCGTCCTGTCTCGTGCGCGAGCGGGCCTAGGTCCGTCTTCTCCACCGCGGATGATCAGCTGGCTGGTGCCGCACTGGTGTGGATATCCGACCAAGTTTAACAGCTTCTGTTAAGACATTTCCTTGTGAGGCTTCGGCATGGCAATCCGTTTCTGGAGCACTCAGTCTCTACTTGTAGTATCTCCAGCACGGCAGCGCCAAAAGCTGCCTTCAGCCTTTGGTCGATCACAACGCTTTCATCCCTCCTTGTTGTGGGTTGTAGCTCGATCGCATTGGTGCGGGGCAACGATCGGCCGTCAGAGATGCAGCAGCCTGCTCGCCCTTGGGGCCAACATGAGCAGTTTCTGCCAGTCAGTCAGACTATCGCTGAGTGAGTGAGGTGAGACTGAAAAGTGAGCGGCCAACGACTTTGAGCTGCGGAACATACCGGTACGCGTCTGCTTTGGATCACCATTTCATGAGCAAAAGAACATGCCGTCTGCTTCGCCATTGCCGAAACTCTTCAGGGAATGGCCTCCAACACTCCCGTGAAAATCTTCAGGAGAAAACCGCTCAAGTTGCGCCACGACAACCGGGAGTTCCCAGGAAACGTTGTGCCAACTATGTGTACCAGTGACACCTTGCTCCAGGGACCCGGCCGATAGCCTATCAACGATGAGATTCGCGAAGTGACTGCCGGGTCAGTTGGAGGGAGGGAATTTTCCCGTTTCTGACCACAAAGCGGATACCGCGCCAACAGATTCCCATTCACGTCTCCAATGACAGCCGCCGGTTACCACCCTCAACTTGTGAAGGGCATGGGATGCCATCCCATCTCTAGGAGTAAAATCCAGGAACTTGTCTGCGGTCGATGACTTTGTCAGTCACCTTGTGGATAAGGTCGATGCATCTTGCAATGCCCAGTTGGCGATCTTTCCAAGGAAACGGCGTTGAGGAAAGAGGCATTTTCGTCGAGAATAGGACAAAGCTCCTGCATAGGCGTAGGCTTAAGCCGGTCCATCGCTAGCTTGCTAGTCTGCGGTTCTCATGGAGCCTGGGCTGTGCTCGAGGTCTATTTTTTGCTGGGACATCGCTGCCTTTTGTGGCGGTGAAGTGCTTCTCGACAACCTTGGCCTGGACAGCTCTCTGATTCCTTACTACAGCTTCCATCCTTGCGATGAGCTGTTCAATTGAGGAAATTCTTGGGCAGCTTTGAGGTCCGAAAGCCTCTCTTTGATGACAGAGTTTCACAGACGCATCCAGACTTCATCAATTCACAATCTCGATGGCAATACCATGATGCCTCCAGGTGACCCTCACGAAGAAACGTAACAGAGTCGAGAGGGGGGATTGAGGGTCTCATGCGCGGGCAACCCCCACCAAGCGAATCGAACCCCGCGATTCCGATCCCATCACATCACATCATCCCACCTGCGCACAGCCGCCGCATCTGATACTGGGCTTACATTCTCCCGCCCGTAACCCCCCTTCTCTTCCGACGTTCACGTCTCCCCCCTCCTTTCTAGAGTGCTGGAGCGCCTCTTGTCTGGGAAGGTCTCCACCGCTGCGTTTATTGGGCGTTCGACAAGCGCCGAGCTGCACGTCTTCACTCCCTCTCCGGTTCTGCATGTCCATTCCCGCACGCGAGCCCGTCTCCCCGGTCTGAGAGACCGGAACATCTACCTTATTTCCTTCTTGTTGCCTTATAGCCTGCTTCCACATATGCGTCTCCTCTCCGATGGTCCTCGGGATGGATGATGGGCATGCTGCTTCGCGAAGCAGAATTGACCAAACACTAAATGGAAGAATATGCCCCCTCCCTTTCCCATCCAAGCGCGGCGGTTGGCATGGCTTCCAGCCAACCGGCTCCTCACGCGAGCTGTATGGCTGACAGTACAGAGGAAGCATATCCGAGGGGTGGTCCTTTTTTACGTAGCATCCGTACAAGTGTACGCTGATCTTCGCCCCGGGGTTATGACTGGCTCTATCTATCCTATCCCAACGACAGGAAGGTTTCCCTTTCCAAAGGGAAGCCTTGCAGTAGGGGGAGAGAGAGATAAAAGGCATGCGTGACTGGGGAATCCGGCATTCTTGTATCGCTAGACTCGGGGCCATTGGTCGGCGGCACGGGATGGACATGCGGTATCAGGCATCCGGAGCCGGATAGATGGCCAGACGGGGCGGCCCATCGAGCGCCTTGCTTTCATCTGCTCCCACCTCTTTGGGTCATGTTGTGACGATGGTCAATGGTACTGGCGGGCCGTCTGGGGGTTTCGTCAACCCTCTCATGGGCGCTAATGGGAATTGGTTATGAGGTAGGCCTGTGAGGTAACACAGCGGCCATCCTCCAGATGGCCGCGTTCGCGACCTACCTGCCGCTGAGCCTGATCTGATAGACAAGAAACCCCGTTGTGACGTGTAAGCACACGATGTATCGGAAGACAGACGGGAGGAGGGGAGCAAGAATTACGAAGCACGAGGCGAAAGGGGGGTTCTCCTGCGCCGCAGAGTACAGAGTCGAGATGCAGGCCTGGGGCGCGGGCGGCCAGGCCAGAAGGTCAGGCCAGGCCGCTTTCCCTTTCCTCTTCTGCCGTCTTGTTGTTTTCCTAAGCTGTCACCAAAGCCTATTTGGTCTCCACTATATGTCTTTTGTGTTAGGCATCCACACATGATTATTGAATTTCTGGGCCAATAGGAGGATCAAATTGAAGTTTTGGACTCTGGAGTGTATCAATTGGTAGGCGGAGAGAAGAGTGCAGTGGGATTGGATGATGGTTGTGTGTGGTGGGTGAGGAGCGTTGAATTGGGAAAGTAAGCTGAGCGAGGATGGTATCTGAATGTGACTTCTGTTTTCTCTGGGTTGGGATACTATCTCATGGACTCTGAACCACGGGACTGTGTTGAGCGTGTCGTGTCGGAGAGGCTTGAAGGTAAGGAAAGGTGAGGACTCATGGGCTTGGGGGGGGGCGAGCCCAGCTTGTCTTGCTTGCCTGGTCTTCTGGGTGGCGAGGCTGGGACCGTCTTACATCAGCTTTTGGGGAGGGATAGGTACTCTGCAGGTAGGTTTTTGAGGGTTGTGTCGTGGGGGAAGGGGGATGGATAGATGGGATTGATTACGGATATTTGTTTTTCTTACATCAGCAACGAAGGGCTTGTAGGTAGTTCGTTTGCAGGCGAGAACCGTGGCGGAGGTCGTCAGGTTTGGATGTTAGTGTCGGCCTGGCCGACGTGATTGCTTTTTGCAGTCGTCAAACGGATCACGTGTGTGCTTTACGGCTATTTTGACATGAGACTGAGGGGGGAGGACGTTGTGGTGTATCATTACGATGAGACTTTTGGGCAGGGCTTAATGGGAATCTGAGAAAAGCTTTGAAAAGGGTCCCTGATAATCATTGGGTCTTGCGGCTTTCGGTGCCTTATGGGTACTTACCCCGTGAACAGTGCAGCAATGTGCAAGAATCGTGATGGTGTGTGTAGGTTAGGATCGAGTCCAGCCCGAGCTGCACTTTTCTAGTCTCGCCTCATTGGGAAGGATGGTGGGAAAGATGGCCAAGGGAGAAGGGGGGCGTTCAGGCTTGGTGGCTTGGTGTTTCGGTGCCTGATTATCAGCGCGTATCGGCGTGTGAAGCAAATGTGCAATTCTGTGATGTGTGAAGGTGTGCAAGATGTAGGAGGCCGAAGGAGAAGTGTAGATATGGATGGCTAGTGAGGCAGATGAGGCAGATGAGGCACCCCTTCGATGTGATGAGGCTAGCTCCTTGAGGCTGCTCTCGTGTGATTGGGTCGTTGTCTTGAGCGAGAAGGATGAGGATGAGGATGAGGCTCCGAGGCAGGCCTGTGGGATGGACCGAGAAGGCGGGATACAGCTTTGGAAGTCAGTCTGCCCGTTTGATAGGTCACCCAGACTGGTCGTTTCCTTTCCCCAATCTCATGGACCTGAGTCGCCTTGTTATGGTTACGATAGATGAAGTAGCTGACGGAGGGATCACGATGGGAGACGGAAGACTTGCCGGACATTACGGCGAGAGCAATCGAAGACCTATCGACTAGCAAGGTGCAGCGTGACCGAGTTGAAGAATCTACCTGACTGCGAGGTCCTGTCCCTTGGCCCAATGCGTTGCTTATCTGTCTGCTACTTGCCTCCTATTTCTGATTTTGATTTGCTCTGGAAGTGTGCTGCTCTTGGGGGAAGCTCCCTTACTATGTATAGTACTACGAGAAAGTGATAGAAGGGGGCGGGCTGGATAGGTTCAGAGTAATGGTTTTGAAGAGTCTCTCGGGTCTACTAGATGTATGTTCTGACTCGTATACCCATATGAGGATACTTAGAGCTAGTGAACCTCCTTGGTTAAGGGTTCTGTCGTCTTTTACGACGAAGGCGTCTCTATCTTAAACAGTAGTGTTGTCGATACGTCGCGGAACATGATCTGCCTCTGTCTGAATAGGATATTCGCTTAGATGACACGGCGTGTTTTGAACCGCCTCAACCCGTTTTTACTATCTTTTTAAAGCCACTATCGTATCCAGACCAGGAGGCTAGGTAGAAAAGTTTAGCGTGCTTCTCCCGATAGTCGTCCGGCTGATAGAAATCCTCGGTCTTTTATATAGTAAGTAGGAGGGTTTGTACTATGGGGGAGATGTATGTGTACTACGATAACAGGGCTTCTAACTACTTAGGTCCTAGAAGAACAACTATGCCATAGGGAGTCTCTCATGCCTTTGTATGTATTCGGACACGTATAAGAGCATCGTAATACCTAGATTTGAGAGATATCATTTGGAAATCAGTACTTATGGTACGTGATAAGATAGATGTGGATAGGTATGAAGCGTTTCCAGACACCGACGTCGCACATCCGTGGAACACATCTCGCAACATGATCTGCCTGAATGCCCAACCGCGGGGCAGAGGGCAATCTTCGTGCTCAAGCTGGCGAGGCTTCCGATCCGAGGGGTCTGCGGCAGGATATTTATAGTGCTACGGCAAAGACGATTGACGAGGCTCGACCTCTCCGAGCACAGGTAAAGGCCTCCGAGACCAAGAGACAGTCTGGTGGGACCGAATTGTTCAACGGTATATTGTTGTCAATATGAGCACAAAACCCTAGACCTCGGTGATGATTGTCATTTCTTCACTGTCTGTCACTTCGGAAGCCTCATTCCCGTCTCTCTATGCCCCCGCTGTAGACGGTCAAAAACGGTGGTGGTGGGTAACGGTTTCCAGATACATCCTCTGACTGAGACTAGCATAGAGCAAGTTCAGCCTCTTCGACTCTTAGTACCCTACCCCTAAGTCGTTGTTGTAGACGAGGAGTATCACATGCGGCTCATCTAGTCCGTCGAACACCCCATGAGGCTTGATAGTCCCTTATTCGAGATGAGACAGCCTGTATGCGAACCCGCGGCACAGACGTCGAAAGAGGAAGGCGACGAGCGTCGCGTCCACAGGCAAACGTTTTGAAATCATAGCCGGGCGATGGAAGGCTACGGGCGAACTCTCGAGTCGGTAAAGTCATGGAAGTTATCATTGTGCCGCCAATGATAGGCGTAGAGGTCACCGAATAGTAGCATGCTGGAGCGTAACTGAAGGTTCGAGGCTACCAAGACCGGGGAGGTGAACACTAAAAGGACGATCTGTTCTGAATGCCTGCTGCCTCGCCTAAATTCCGTTGTGGCAGCAGTCCACGCAGGCTACTCAGACCTGTGTCGAACAAGAACGCATGCCTTCACCGATGTGCAACTCCATGCAGGCGCCTCGTCAATAACCAAAGCTGCCCCGCCGTCTGCCTCGCCGCCAATGCAACGTCGATACCACAGCCTCTTTACTCAACCTGAAGCAAGGCATCTGCCCACCTGCCTCTATGTTTCATTGAGGCTTTCAATCCGCATATACGACCCGCGGCATCCCATCGCGATCCCACTCCCACACCGGCAAATCCAGGTCCACTACAATAGGCTTGTTGACCGTCTTGCCGCCGACGTGCGGATAACTCTTCGCCATGATGGCGCAGTTAACGACGCACGTCTCCCGCCGGCCAAGGCGTCCGGCGAGCGCGGCGACGTCGGTGCGGGGTGATGTCGGATCGCCGCCGAGGCCGCGGGTGCCGAGGCCCGGGTCTGCGGCGGATTCTGACGTCGTTTCGGGGGTAGACGGAGACAGACCGAAAGCTGTCCTCCCCACAGCCTCGTCGGATGCACTCCTCCCCGGGTGCGATCCGTCGTTGCGGAGAGGGTTCCCGCCCTTGATTGTCAGATTCACGAGGGACTGCTTGTTCCCCTGGCCCGGGTCACTCCAGCGCTCGACGCCTTCTTCTTTGAAAGCTGAGCCGCCGCAGCCCAGATCCCAACTTACCCTCTCGACGCCGCGTCCTTCATGGACGTGTCCGCAAACAGCGAGCCGCGGACGGACGCGCCACAAGGCCCGTCTCAGGGCCTCGCATCCCGCTGCGCGCCGGGCGCGGGATTCGTCGCAGTGGGTGTGTGGCGGGGTATGCGTTACCACAACATCTGCTTCGAGGGGAATATCGTCCCATAGCGTGGGTAGATCACTCGCCGCGGCGCCGACGCTGCCGTGCTGAGGGGCGTCGTAGCCGAATGCCCAGAGGCCGTTGCGTGGCGAGTACGGGGAGGCAAAGACTGTGAAGGAGGTGCGTGGTCCTGAGGGGGAAGAGAGGCGGATGGTTGCTGTTTCGTGGTCGAGGTAGGTTATTGAGGGGGAGTTTGTGAGGAGGGCTGCGCAGTCTTGAGGTGATTGTGGTGTCTGGTTGTGGAAGTGGGATCCGTGTTGTGAGTAGAAGTCTGCGTCTAGGGTGATGTCATGGTTCCCTAGACGGCCGTTTGGTCAGTGTTCTGATGTGGAGGGATGAAATGTATATTGCGTCAAGGTGAGGAAGTCTGAGGGGGGACCAACATTGTGCGTACCTGCGACGACGATTTTGGTCTCAAAATCTGCTTTCTCGAGCCATTGGATTGCCTTTGATAACTGGTGATGCCGTCAGTCACACTGTCCAAATAAGGTACATTCAGAAGCAAGCAAACGCCACCGGCGAGTCCATATTTTGTTTATTCTATTGCCGCGATGAACCCAGACACCATCAGAGAGTAGCTCATCTCTCCCCGAGCGCCTCCCACATGGCTCCCGAACGGGTAAGTACCTGAGTCGACAACTGGGAACTTCCTTATTGTCTCTCGCTCTCTCTCCAAATACACTTATAGAAAGGGCACGATTGGGGCACGTACCTCGGAATAGCTGCCCTGGTTGGTCAAGTCCCCCGCGTGGATCAGCACGTCGCCCTTTGGCAACTTGACGGTAGTGTTATGGGTGTCGGAGACGCAGACGAACCGGGTCCTCCGCAGGACCGGCTGGCGTCGTGCTGGCGGCTGCGGCTGCGGGTGGCCAGAGGTGCCGGTATGGTCCATGATCCCGGCGATGTTGGAGGGGTCAGTCATGGACCGGGGGCCGGGCTTGGACGGGCTGTGAGAGGTGCGTAGCGGCCGGCAGATGATGGGGCCGATGGAGAGTTCGGACCGCGTGCGTTGGTGTAATTCGATATTCGATAGACGAGGGTGCGGTGGTACCAGGGCAGATTAGGGGGAGGAGCCGGCAACAGGGCTCGAATTAGGCTATAGGGCCAATTTTGTGCAGATGATGAAGGCCAAGGTATCCGTATTATCCGTATGTATGTGATGTAAGGATTTTCAAGAACAGTATAAAACGAGTACAAAGGCACGTGAGAGGATGGGGGGCCAAGAGAGACGGACTGTCGTAATGAACCGGAATGAGGATGTTTGTGCGCAGTGCTTCACTTGAAACAGGCCGGGATAATTCAACAGCACGAAAAGGCAGCCCGGCACCGGATCGCGCAGGCCGTGCGTTCCGCCTTCCTCCAATCTGTGTTCGTAGCCCAGGATTCCTTCCAGTACCGTGGGCTTCTCAGAGCTTGAAAGCTGGTGCCTTGTAGATGATACGTTTCTTTGTGATTTGTTCCTCAGCGGCCAGATTCGTTCGGAAATTATCAGGAAAGGACGATCTGGATATTCGGGGCCCCCTGCAGTTTCACAGCCAAGGTGCAGAGGAGAAAGTGACGAGAGATAAGATCACGAGCCTGGTCGTTCTTCTAGAAGGAAAAATAGGGGAGGGGTTTCAATGTGTGGAATGGATGAACGTCTGTTCGGTATGACCGCTCTGTGTCATTTCGTGGATGGCGGACCAGAAAGTATTGATGCCTCTAACGTTCGTAGCTAAGGTACGTAGTTGTAGGCTGTATGCAATTGGTTGGGTACGTGGGAAATCATCGGGTGTGGGGCTGGTGGTGTACTTGGGTACCTTCCCATTTCCGTCATGCGAGATCCCAGGAGAAACGAAGCGCCGCCATTGGTTATACCGGCGGTGAAGGGATCTTGTTGACTCGCATCCCCAATTGCACCCAATTTGTGAGGTGAGGTTGGTTGTGAATTCAAGAGAGGCAGGCTTGCTGCGGTGGAAGAAGAAAAGGTCAGCAGCCGGTATTATGCAAATGGCCAGATGGAGAGACAAAACGGTCTGCATGCGAGGGTGGAAAAAGAAAGAAAAGTTTCCGTAATGGGGGGTTTGAAAACGTCTCAGGCGCATATACGAACAGGAAGAGAGAGCATCAGCCACCTTCTCTTCCTCTCGTGAGGATGTCGTGAACTGTGGTACATGTAGCTATGCAGAACAGTAATCCCAGCGGCGAGGAAAGAACTGAAGAGGCAGATGACTGAGAGATTACGTTCACACACCAGAGTCCCCAGGGATAATATGAGCGAAGACTTAAAATTGAGAAATTGAGAAGCAAGAGGCACAGCACACAGACCGTTGAGATTCCTGGTTGGCGGTTTCTGGGATTGATTGCCTGAGCCGGGGCGGCCAGGAGGCGCAAATGACCAGTG